CAGACAGAGAGGAGAGAAAGATCTAACACTAGTTTCACATGCAAAGTGTTGGGGGCCCACTGCCTTGTTAAAAAAAGCAGGGCCATTTTTTGTTGTTTTTTTTTTAAATTTTTTTTTGGAAATGATGAAAAACGTGCAACTAGGCCAGGGGTTTCATGATATCGCTGTCCATAAATCACTGAACACCTGTCTCGCAATACTGGCAACTGCAGAAGTGGAAGTTAACTAGGTGTACTTGATATTCTTCTAGAGACCTGGAGATCTCACTCCCAACAAAAAAAAGATTTATTGCTTTGTGTCTGTAAGGAGAAAGCCCTGTACTGTAAGAATCTGCTCTGATATTTCCCCAGTGATCCAACCTGCTTTGTGTTCGAGTGCAGTGCGGGAGGTGTGTGTGGGTCTGTGGTGTCCAGTTACTACAGCTGGAGTTGACACTCAAAATTCGATGCCTATCACCTTTCTCCAAGATCGGACTCGGATACTAGCATGTGAAATTTCCCCATCTTTAAAATGTGAACGGACAGTATTCTAGGATTCCCTTTAATTCCAGGATTTTCTTGAAATCGGATGCTTTGGAGCCGAGATGAATTTCACTCAACTCAATTAAAATCGTTAATGAGCCGCTTTTACAAATTCCAGCGAAAGGGGCTGCCAAACACAAGCTGGATCTTTGTGATCAACATCACTGGTGAAGGAGGAGTTTCTTTGCTGCTTCCTAATGTTTCTCACTTTAAAAACGCTACATGTGTCTTTTAGTATCCATGGGAGATGGGATCATGGGACCAACTACCAAAGTAAATCTAACAGCCAATTTTGTAGTAATACTTTGCCAAAACACTCTAAAAATGCAAAACACCTCCATATGATGAAATCTGCTGTGCTAAACAACTGACCTGTTTGCACTGTCTTGCACTGGAGATGTGAAGCAGAACTCCAGCTAACAATTTTTTTTAAATCCATGATCAGACAGGCGGTAAAATGATATCAGATCCTTCACAAATTCTTCATTCTGAATATCCCTATGAACATAACCCTTTTCCTCACGAATCAATGTTTCAGGGCTCCTAAACGTAAATCATATAAATACAAATATTCATTTGTTCCCTTATCTATTGAAGCAGTTAACACACATAAATGGCAAGGGTCAATGCCATTGTGTCAGTATATGTTTATGCTGTAACAAACTATGCAAGTGTAATATATCATGGTTATGTTTTGTAATTAGTTATGCATGCGCGATTGATGTGATGTGTCATTTTGTGCGATATATTCAGATGCACAGAAGCAATGTGTGTCCATAAAACTTTTCCCCTAGGGAACAATAAAGTGTATTTTATCTTTCTGTATATGACAGTGTAAGAGACAATGATTCATAGAGAAGGTTAAGAATTCTTGCACTGCTTGTTAACTCCTGAGTATGGAGGGGTAAGACATTTGACTTTGTGTGTAGGACGAACTGTGTGCTCATATGTTTGCACACTGTAGGCCAATGTCCCGTGTCTGCATGGAAGAGACACACGCAAGTGGCGGCTTTAAACACACCTCACCATGCTGATCTGGCAGTAATTCCATAGATATCACTGCCAGTCTATGTTTCACTGTCTGCATGCTGGCATTCCAGCCAAGGCTGGGTGCATCAGGTACTTCTGATATATCTACAGTAGGGTCGCCTGGCGTGAATGCACAACGGACCTAGACAACACGCAACCTTCGCACATTCTGCTCCAAAACAAGCTACACAAAAACAGAATAACCCTAAATCCTAATGTTCATCATGAATCAAGAAACTGCACTTCTGGAGTGTTTTAGCACAGCATTATTCATAATTAAAATCAATAATAAGTCAAATTCTATTGGCACACTGGCAGTATTTTTCAACTAATTAAATCAGACGATGAATTATTAGCCAACACATCCCAGAATCTAGCTGTCAAAGCAATCCGTAACGCCCACTAATGGAATTGGGGCACATCTAATTAAACCCACTGACCTCTTGGACTATTTCAGACTTTTGGTTTAAGGTTTTACATCAGCAATAACTTTCATTGTGAAAGAAATGAATTAGATTCCTCAGTAGTATTTTTCCATGTCAGGGGCTGCAGGTTGCAGGAGAAGCACAGCTACTTCATGAAGCAGGTGGGATAAGATGTCTGTCACCCTCCCTGCTCCCCAGAAGTAAGGGAAGTAGCCCTATTTTATAGCATCGTCCAAGGTTTTTGCCCACATGGCTGAGCACTGCAGCCAACTTCACATTCATAGCAAAACAGGACTATTAACACTGTCTTGATTAAACAAGAATTGATAATGCTGTCTAATTTGCATCTCTTCTGGAATACTACAGTAATGTGCAGAGATTACCCTGCTGCCCTTGGTCTTGCCTCAGACTATTGTCTGGAGGGTCTGCAGCCCCCCCAGTGGAAAGGAAAACCCCTTATGAATTAAATGCCCCTAAGTGTGAAATATAGATTATGTTTTCCTTAACTTGGCTACAGATCTCAATAGGTCCGGCTGTGCAACACCCTGAAACTCAAGGAAAACACTTCCAGGGGAAGCTGAGGAAAACGTGACCTTCAGTGTTTTAAAGTAACTGGCTGCTGATCCCTGTGGAATTCTGTCCTCTTGGTCCCACAGATCCTCACCTTCCCTACTTTTGGCACCCTGAAGAACAATACAAAACAGGGAGGTGGAACCATCCGTGACACAGCTGCGCTGTGCCTTGTGTGAGCCCATGCAGGCGAGTGAAGCCGCGAGTGTGTGGTAATATAGTCCTTTGCATTACGGAAGGCCAAGCGAGCAAGGAAACCGGAAACACAGGAAACTGGAAGAACTCTTTTTGGATTGAAAACAGAAGCCTTACAAAATCCCTGCTGCCCCCAAAACCAAGATAAAGAATACTGCTGTTGGTTGGCTTACAAGTAAAGATTGCTTTGCCTTGCACAAAGAAGCCCTCCATCTTTCTATAGTCCTGTGCTACATTAAATCTGCATTCTCTGTTTACAGAACAATGTCTTTTACGTGTCTATTTGACTACCGATACTAGAAAAATAGGCATGCTTTGGGTGCTGATTAGGCACCTGGTTAACTAGATCACCCATGCAAGCATATAAGACCACTCTCAGTTCCCACAACAATGCAACAGATGACACCCTAAAAATGAATGCAAGGCAGGAATGGCCAGAATGGATGTGTTTGTGTAATCCTCTCTCTGGATCCGCAGAACGGAAATCCAACAGGGGAAAAAAAATCATCCTGCAATATGAGGAAAATGGATGCTGGACCGCTGTGCATCGTACTACAGAGAAATTCTTTCTCATGGGATCTTAACAAGGACAACTGAAACCCAATAAGACAAATCAAAGCTTCTCAGGATTTTCAAAAGATGGTTCAGATTCAAAATTGACATTTTGGTTTTGAATTCTCCCCGTAGGCAAAAGGCTCGAAAGTTAATTCTCTTTGCCTACTGGGAAAATCAGGCCCTTTGTTTCTCTTTACGACATTACAAAAAGAATAACCATGACTTCATGTAGTTACTGGTTCTTCTAGAACCGCCATATTACAATTGGTTTAAATAATACTTTAATGGAGTTTTTTTTTTCTTTAAACACGTTGCATGCTTTTGTCACTGTTCAGATATGATTAGGCACTTTCTACATAAACACTTTTAGCAAAAGGTTTACATATCAAGTCTTTGCAATGGACTTTTAAAAAAAAAAAAGAAGAAAAAGTTCAAATATTCTTCACATAACCTCCTGGAAACAGAATAAACAAACAGTACACAGACACATTTCTGGAAAAAAAGAAAGCAGGGTCATTTCCCCCCATGCATTCCCACAGACAGAACTGATCGCCACACCCGGCCATCACTGACAGCACATTCTTTGACAGCCCAGGGGCCAGTGTCCACTCGCAAAGTGCACAGCAACACTCCTCGTCACGGGCCTGACGTTCGGGCATAGGCAAGCGCTTTGCTTTCCTCCTAAGAGAGACTGCCCCCATTTTTCATTGGCTTCTCCTCAAAAAGCACAGACTGCAACCGAGAGTTACTGCAGCCTTTTCGCCTTCGCATGACCCCTCCTCAGGGCAAGACGATCATTCCCACCGCAAGTCAGAGGCTGGTATCGGCCCCCCCATTCCCACAAGGCCAATCTAACATTCCCCTCCAACCCCCCCATCTCAATATGACATCATAGTTTTGTAGCACCTTAGAACTGTTGTGACACCCCTTTCTGCGTGCAGTGTGAGATGTCATGCCATTCTCCCTCCTCAGTCAGGCAGGTTTCAATGGCGTCCGATGTGCTCCACCTACACAGAAAGAGGTCTCCGGTCTGGACCCCGTGTCCAGCTCAGTGTTGCTTGTGCCCTTTGGAGAGAGACGCTGCCTGGCCCGTGCCTGAACCGATAGCAGCCTTGGTTGGATGAAAACACCAGCCCATCAACCCAGTCTTTGAAAAACTCCTCTGCATTCCAGCTTCCTGTCTAGAGTCAACAGAAGAGGAGGATCTACCGAATCAGTTGCACTGTTGCTTTTCCCATCAATATAAGGGTTTCTGTGAAAGCTCAGCAAATAGAGAGCTGACAGGATCCCTTCTTAATCTTTTGTTTTCTTCAAAAGGGAATCACATGACCGGGACGTTATTTATAACTCTTCAAACTGACCCCCTTTCTCATTTACACTAAATATTGTTGTAATACTGTCTGCATGCATGTCATAACTTTGACTCCCTGTGTTTTACTCATTGTTGACGACTTTGTGATTTTGCATTCATTTCTGTTCCTTCCTTTACTTCCTTACGAACTATTACACCCTTCATAACTGCAACACGCCGCTACTGAATGGCTACATCCTTCTCTCTGCAGAGGGAGGGCATCTATCTGCAATGAACTGCTGTGCCAGCCTGTCCACTGGCATTCGCCCTGAATCTGCAGCTCTAAATCAGTGTCGAACAGAATTATTGAAAAGGAGATTGAACGCGATGGCCCCCCTGATGTGACAATAATTCCAGAGAGCGTCTGAAAAAACGTTTCTAGTTCTGCGCTGTAGGTGACCAGCCTGCTTCAAGCTACACGAATGAGACAGGCAGCTTGGCGTCTGTGCCAAAGGGTTTGTTGCCATTTTTTTAATTTCCAAAATCAGACATCCTTCCTCTAAACGTCCTTGAAGTCAGACTGATCGTTCTTTTCCAAACTCAGCAGGGGTTTGACACGGATTTAAATGGCGTTCATTAACAATTAACAATGGGCAGAAAGACAAACATCCCACCTCCAACCAATCACCAGCTCACTGGCATATAAACACGGGGCCTATGTCTTTCGTGACCCAACATGCTTTGCTTGGGCGCCCTTCACTGACCCCAGCCCAACGGCCAGCGCTGCAGCCTGTTCCAGAAGGGGGCTGGACCGCCTTGTCCACAGGACCAGGCTGATGTGACTCAATCCATTCAAGTTAAACCAGAACGCTTTCTTTTATTTTAAAACCACGTTTCATGTAATGCACAGCCATGATTCACTGGGATACTAGCCGTATCTCCCCAATTAACACTGTACCTTCAAAGACAAATGTGCAGGGCTGGATTTTACCCTGGCCAAGGCTGCTATTTACAAACCCGTTATAGAGAACTACCAAGACACCACCCCCACCTCAGTCTCTTCATTTTCTGCTTACAGATCTTAAACACTCTCCTCTGTGCGATTTGTGTGTATGCGTGTCTTCCTTTGCGTTTTGCAATTGTATCTATTTGTGTTAGGCTGTTTGCTCATAAGTTTGTCTCGCAATAGGAATAGCAAATCTGTCCAATTAAATTTTTAATGCCACTGAGAAGAGAGGAGAAACACGAGAGACTTTTTAAAACACATCTCCTTCCGCACTTTGTGTAGACCTTTCGTGTGTGTTGATTGGTTGGTAGTGGTGTGACTTTTGTATGGTATTAATGCTAGTATATTTTTATGATTATCTGCTCTGCAAAGATTATAACGTAATTCTCTTGTTAAGCAATATAGCATTCACATTACTCGGCACCATTGGCAAAAAAGATTAAATTCTTGGTAGCCCAAAACAAAAAAAATGTAAACATAACCTTTTTTGTCTTTATTAAGATAATTTTGTCTTTTTTCCTAACTCTAAATACAGATTTATTGTTTTTTTTTGCAATAAGGTCATGCTTTAGCAAAATGTTCTTTTAAAGAACATTTAAAATAAAATACTCTTATAGTGAAATATTTTTTAATCATTTTACAGATCATAGCCACTAATGCTTTATTTTTTTATCTTTATTTGTTCATGTCTTTAAATTTCATGCACATAGCTCCTTGTTTGTCCCAGATATTTACAATATGTACAAACAATACAACCAGACTTGGGCATTCAAACAAAACTATACAAATATTCTTTTTTTTGTCACTTACCATGTTAGTGTCCCCTTTTATGAATAAAATAATATATATTTCTTAAAATACAATCCCCTTCCGATAAATGTTTATCTCCACGTACCGTCTACCTTCTTTATATACAGATACCGCTCAATAGTCAAAAATATGGATCTGTCTCCCCCTGTGGAGGGAAGAGCGAAGGGACTCCAGCCCAGAGTCTCCAGCAAGTCAAGGCAATGTGATCGTCCCTTCAGACACCTGGCACAGTCTCTGAAGGGCATTTGCAACGCAACAACCTTCGTAATCGTAACACAAAAAACAAACAAACAAAAGCAAAACAAAAATAACAATAAACCAATTTGAAAAAAAAAAATAATTATCCCTATTTAAAAAAAAAAACGAAATAAGGCGCGTACAAAAATCATAACTCAACGTAAGAGAATATTAAACTATATTAGTGTCATAAAGTGCTGGACATGAGGAGGGCAGCGGGAACATGGGTGACGGCACAACATTATAACGACAAATAAAATAAATTAAACTTGTTTTTTTGTTGTTGTATATAAAAACACGCAAAGAGACGAACCGTAGCCCATACACATGCATTTAAAAAAATAGTTTTCTTACTAACAGAGTTGATTCAACTACACGGGACTCACAGAAGGCAGGCTAGCGGTAAAAACAAAAAACTGAAAATAAGAGACGGAATGGGTGAACTCCTAATAACTTCTGAAAGAAATTTTAAAAAGCAAATAGCGAAGGTTTTTGAAAGGGGGGGGGGGGTCCCCTTTTTCTTGGACCTCCGGCAGCACAAATACTAATTTCTTACCTGCATCCACCCTCCAAAGCAAAATCATAACCGACACCGCCCTTCGAGAAACCCGCGCAATTCTGCAGACGCCCAGCTACATTCAGAGGAAGTCCCGCCCCCCTCCCGGCTTGACTGACAGGCAGGAGGGCCAACCAGCAGTGACGACAGGTGTGTGGGAGGGAGCGCTGCGCTTGCTTGGGCGTGTACAGGAGTGTGCGTGGCGAGACAGCTGCGAGCGTGTGGCGCCGACGGTTTTTGGTTCATGTTCATCAAATGGATTAATCAGTCACGTTTTAAAAAAAATAAAATAAAATAAAAGCATAAAACAATTCTTGAGAAGCAGGTCCCAATATGCTTACGCGTTTTTGTTCTTTCCTCCATATTTGCGGCGACCTTCTCCGATCTTCCGTGTGCGCTCTTCTGATCTCACTAGGGACTACGCCAAGAGCCCCCAGTTCAGGATGTTTGCTGTTTTTGCTCCGAAAAAAAAAAACAATATATGAAAAGTGCAAAAAATGCCATGAAGATAATGTTTTTTTCCCCCCCCCATTTTTGTAGAGTTTAAAATTCCGCGGGACTTTCGACTTTCCTCAGTACACAAAGAACAAGGGGGAAATAATGCCGTTGTACATAGCAGAATCCATGGACATGACCGAAGTGTTAACGGCAACGATTCCGCTGAATTCCGTGTTCTCCCCTTTGTTTTAATTGTTTTTTTTTTTCCTCTTGTAAAATGTCTCTGGTACAAACAGAAAAGAAAAAAAAAAGAGTCTGGAAAAGTGATGTCACATCGTGAGGGGGTTCTTCTGCAAGGTCTCATGTTCCCTGTCCCTTCTCAATTCTTTCACTCTGGAAGACAAAACGAAACACGGGGTGGGGAATGAGCGCGGGAGCCAGACGCCAGAGTCTACGGACTGCGTCTGCCCCAGGGAGAGAGGAGGCCTGGGTCCGAGACAGGCACTGCAACGGCTGGGTCTTAATCTCCAGTCTGCTCCATCTCAGACGCCCACCTTCAATGTCACATGGCAACACGGTTTACCTGTAATGCTCCATTAAAAACTTCCTACAAAACCATTTGACACTGATATATAACTGTGAAAAATGGGTGTTTGTGTTTTTACATACCCTAAATATAGGGAACTTGATTCTACACTGGGTGACTATAATTTACAGAAACATGAGTGTAAAAAGACAGCTTAGACGCAGACTTTTGGTGGAACAGGCTTCGGCCCTGATTGGTTACCTAGTTAATGATAATAGAGAAGGGATGCTCTTTCTACTCAAAGGACATACATCATCCAGCAAATAAGGTGAGCTTTACTTTGTATTGGAGGGGTTTAAGCCTCTGACCGCAGGAATAACGGCTGTAAATCGCTGGAATTCTTGTTTTAATCACAGCACGGTTGGCGACTCGATTCTCTGAGTGTCGTATGACCTGCAATAACAACTTGCTCCATGTCTCAGCAATCACAGCCCACCGTCAGCCAAGAAATAAGCCTATGCAAAGCGCGCGGGGAGCCTTTAAACGTGTGATTAGTAAAGGATCAAAATAAAAAAAAAATAGACTGGAAACAAAAGCAAGCATCCTCTACCAGCGAACAAGTTTCAATCAGTTCTTTTGTGTTTGGAGCCCAGCGTAATGGCTCAACTTGTTGTGAGTGGGAGGGAGCAGTCTCACTGGCCAGTAGTGTGTCGAAGCCCACAGGCAGGACCAGCAGGAACGGTGCAGGGCTTGCACACAGAATTTCCATCAAGCGTGCATTTGCAGGAGACCCTTTTGTCAAGATGAAAAAAGGAGTTGTAACTTCTTCCTTCGGCACTGAGAGGTGCAAAAAGGGATACAGCTCTCAAGGATCTGCTTGCATAGCCTAAGATGCATCTTGAATTTTATGCCAAACGGGGGTTTAAAATGACTTTCCCATTTCTTCCTAATGAAATAAGATCAATATTTCAGTTCAAAAGATCTTTCTTTTACACATTGATGGCGTTACAGTAATTTATAGGAGATCAATATGCCCCCCTGCAGACAGAGAGGAGTGATGCCAAATGCCAGCTTCATGCACCGCAATTCAGTTATTTACAGCCCCTGTCCTGAAGCATTGAGGCACCTTATCCGTCTTTTCAAAAGCCACTAAGAGTTTAACAGTGTACCCGTGTTCACACAGACTGTTCTGTCCAATACAAGGAAGCTTGATGCCTTGTGCTCCTCCCTCCAGGAACTGAAAGCGAGACAGGAGCGATCTGGAGTCACTCCAGCGTGGAGAGGGAGAGGGAAGGGAGAGAGTTCTGATTCACTCCCCACCACTCCTGGAGGAAGTGAAACAACACAAAGAGCTTAAAAAGAATTTTAAAGAAGTAGTTTTGGGCTCGAGTTGAATGCCTGGACACACAACTAACTCAAAGGTATCCAGCAGAATTCCTAGTGATAGATAAGATTTGTTTTGCTTAAAATGACTGATGGGTGCTATACAGTAAGTGAAGGACTCTTACAGCCCCAAGGGAACAACGGTACACATTGCTCAGTATTCCACAGCTGCAGTCCCACTGTCGGGACACAGATGCAGGATTGCATTTTAAATTCAGAACCAGGAAGTGGAAGCTATTAACGGATGTTTGGGAGGGATAATGACAACAAGCCGATCTCACCCAGCTGTTCCTGATCATATTCATTACTGAGATTACCTATAAATACTGAACACAAGCACCTCCCTGTGTGTAATACACCCCTTCTCCACCCTGTCTCCACCTATACAGCTCCCATTTCAGACGTTAACTCCTCTCTCTGGACGGGGTTCGAGCCTCCTTGTCCCACAGCCTCTTGACCAAGTGGGTTTAAGCCACAACTATCCAACCTAAAATACTCATTCACAAAGCATCTGATTCTTGGATGTTCTTGCTCCTGATGAACTATTAAGTATTGTATACCCGCAAAATTTGGAATGGCCAGTTTGATCAATATATGGCTCACAGCTATGACCCCAACAACCACAAGGAGATAATCAGGAAGAGCAGACAAGCTCCTCTGACTGTCTCAATCACAGTTACTATCAGAGTCCCAGGTTGTTGCTGTTTTGCTGGAAGTCGAGAGAAAAAACCATACATTAGGGAATTCTAGTCCCAGTGGGCTTGAATCCCCACTGGATCACGGCGATCAGCCTGCAACTGGGGGGTGCTTTTACTGGTTAGGTCCCCTGGGAGCCCATGGGGTGCGTGATTTTGATTCCAGCAGCATTCTGTTTGACATCTTCACTGCTTTACAGTGGGACTCCTACAGGGTAATGGAGCTCATCAAAGAGGGATTACTCAATGTACACCATTCGTATAGAGCTTTCTTTCCACAACCGACCGTGGAGGAAAAAAAGCAACCACTTGTGCTGTCAGTGGGGTCCCAGGACTGGAACTTTGAAATACTGGGTTAGGAGATTTAGTTGCGGCACGGGCTGGGGTACAACACTAACTGGCACAATGAGAGAGCAAAGTGGGCTCTGGGACTCTCAGTCTCAACGGCAAAATCAAACTAAGATATTTTGCTAAACTTGGCCTTCCAGCTCTTTAGCCCAAGTCAGGATCTGTGGTTAGACCCTACGTTCCCAGTTCCTCCCTTCTCCGCCCCCAGTCTGCAGGGTGACAGTGGTCTGTAGAGATCAGACTGTGTAGAAAAAGAAGCAGAAGCGATGAGGGAGCTCTTTCCCTCCGCGCCATCCCAAGGCAAAACAATGAAAAAAAAACAACAGGCAGCCAGGTGGTTGGAAATAAAACATCCTGCCCACACAGGATGTGACATTCTGAGCATGCCTAGGAGTAAAGAAGCAAGGCCTGTGTCCGTCACCAGTCATGCAGCAAGGTCAAAGGTCATCCAACCATTCTTTTGCATTAAATGTGCATCTTTGGAAAAATTAAAAATTCTCTTGGAAAAGAACAAAAGAAGGAAATCAAAGAAAGGAAAAACAAAATCAGAAGGAGGAGCGAGGTTAGTGTTGCCGTGTCGCTGTCATTCGTGTAGTGTGGTTAGTGAAGTACTGCTGCTTCTCTCAATCAGAAGGGCCTATCAGTGGTTCCAGTCTGCAGCCGTCATGCAAGCAGGCATCAAGCAACAGTGAAAGAGGAAGAAGGGCGCGAAACAGAGGGAGGGAGGGAGGGGGAGAGAGAAAGAGAGAAGCATGAACTAAGTTGCTAAGGCTGCACTCACCCGCTTGAACAGTCTATGGTCCATCAAGGGGCTTCGCATTGACAGCAAAACAACACCAGACAGCTATTAGCACAGGAGGAGGTGGGGGAGGACGAAGTACAGTGGGGATGTCCTTGCGTGCCTATGTACCCGCAGTGGTGGCTGGTGCCCAGTGCAGTCAGGGCAGGATGTCTCCATGTGCAGTGCGGGATTAAGTCGTCACTTCCAAACCATGTAAACTACTGAACTGATCTGCACTCCGACTCACTGGAAAGACCGGACTGAAACGGGCATCTGCTCAACAGCCTCTTATGTGCAACTGTCACATTAAACAAGTGTGTGTTTTTGGAAAGAAACTGTTTGATAAAAACTGATTAACGCATGTTTTTATCAAACAGTCTTTGGGCTTTTTGTGAACTTAAACTTAAGGCGGAAATACAGTGCAAAACAAAAAGCAAACAAAACTACATCAAGCCGTTCAGGATGTAAAGTGTACAGTATTTATACAATAATCAAAGGCTCCAAAACATCTCCGTAGAGGCACACTGCCAGGCCCAAAGCTCAGCGAACTCCGTGCAGCCTCCTGAGCCAGAGGAGACGCCTTCTGCCTGTACAAGAAGCAGAGGTCCTGGTACTGACTCACTCTGATGAACGATGCCTGCACCAGGCTCCATGGGCACACTGACTTTTAATTCAATAGACAGCAACATTCTGCGTTCAAGAACTTAATCCCAGGTCCCCTGTTTTTAATTAAATACCGTATAGCTACTTTAACTAGAGGACAGGTTAATATAAATGTGTTCTATAATGATTCAGGTAGATTTAGACATCAATCACATTATAAACATTATTTGAGCTCAGAAAGTGTACACCAAATTACCAAGGGGGCAACAATATGTAATCTTGGCACGATTTAAGAATGCAAAACAACTTAATATTTTGATGTTGTATTATTTTAGTACAGAATGCATTAAACGCTGTCCCTTCAATTAATTAATTATGTATTAAGGTATCTATCATAAGTACACAAACAGTTGTGGACAGTTGTTTACTTCAGCTTGAGATGTTTTGGAGCGCATGATTATCACTATAGTATACAGCTGAGTATAGCTCATATGTGACTTCTGTTTTCACTGGATTTCCTCTTCAAGTCGAAGTGGCTTCTTAAAAGTACAGTGTTTCTTTTGTGAATCACTTCAATTCTTTTCACTTCATAGCTTTTGACCAATGCTTACGACCAACTAAATAAACATAATTCATTTTAGGTGTTTCCAGGCTAGCTACAGTATGTTTGCAATAAATGTATGTCCCTGTTATTAACCAGCCCTCTGAATTGTCAATTAAACTGGTTACTTTAATACATTCAGCAGATGGGAATCTCCCAACAGATATTTGACATTTCACTAAGCAGGCGGTACACAAAGAATTAATTGATTTAGACATCATTAAGATAAAAGAAAAATCTAACGGTTTAATGACTGCTGATCACAGTGTTAAATGCAGGAAGACCGGAATAAAAATCTAAAATGAAGAAATACGGATGCATATTCCTGTAAAAAGTCTTAGTACATTTCATTATCTGTGATTTACAAAATTTCACAAGAGGCCATACAGTATATATAGCTAAAAGCCTGTAAATATTTACAAAAAGTGCACATGATTAACACCTTTTGATCAACTTATTCAAGGTGTCACTGTGACACCTAGTTTTTGAAAAGCACTGCAGTATAATGTGGCTCAGCACCCTCATGTTTTGGATTGTTTTGATGTGCAATAAACAGATTTTGGGTGTATTTCCAAAAGCTACTGTGCAATCAGTTCAACAGTCAATCTGACTGACAATCAATCAGCTTTTTAATGAGTGTGAGGGGATGTCTTAGGGCAGGTGATCTGCTTTTCTACAGAGAAGTACACAAAGAAAACTAGATGAGACAGAAAGAAAAGACTCGGGCAAAAGATCCTTAGTCTCCCCCTTCCCACCGCTTTTCCTTAAGGACTCTGGGCATGTTCATGGCTTTGAACTCGGAAAGCGAAGTCGGGTGTGCAGGTGGAGGTGACCGGGCTGCATGGGGCTCACCTGTGGCGACAGCGGCGCAGGAACCTCATGATCTTACGTGCAGCCTGGTCCTGCTTCTTGGTGAGCAAACTACTTCTGGAACAGATGCACATTGTTAGCCTGGTTAGTCACTGTCAGACTCTAAACCATATCTATGGCTCACGGTGCTGTGGACACACTCACAGTCCGTGGCTTTTAATATTCAAGGTTCCCAACAACTACAGTATTGATAAATGTAAAAATGTATTTTGTAGACTGCTTGTTGCAATCAAGAAATCACCCTTAGCTGATTTAGGTTGTGACAACATGGTTTTAAATCAAAGCAGTAGAATCCCTGGTGGTTCAAATCATTTATCACTGGTTTATCCCTGAAATTGGAAGTGGGAAACACTGATCTAAATATTCATAATTACACGGATCATTTAAAGCAGGTGTTTCCAGCCCTGGTCTAAAAAAGCTGTAGGATTTTTATTACCGTGAAGCCTCTTTGTAAATTTAAAAGCTGTAAATTCTTAAGATTAATGTGATCTTTGACTTAAGCCTTTCACTGAAGATGCCTCTAAAATCTGAAGGATTGTGTTTCTCCAAAAGCAGGTTACAGATCTCTGGCTTTAATACATCATTACTCAGAAATGTGCAACTACAGTACTAACATCTTTTAGAACATGTTAGTGTGAAAATCATCACAACAATATTATCTGTGTACATACCAATAACATGAATATTTGCTTTAATTAATGCTTTAGACTTCTGGTATCCACAAAACATTTTTTGCATGTTACAAAAAGTGAAATTGTAATTGCCGATGTAAATGAATTAATTAGAGCAGTACAATTTGGATAATTAGTTTGTACACGGTTGATTTCCACTGTGTATTTTTGCTATTTAGTGCATTTATAAGCATGTATTTTGTACTCCTGAGTTTGTGTTGTATAACTGTGATGCTGTGCTGTAATTGTGTTATTGGTGGGTGTGAAAGCCATCCTGACACTGTCTATGTGTATGTGAGTGTGTGACTTTAAAAACTGATATAACATCATGAGGTCTTTTGTTGGTGTGCAATATTGCTGGTATGATCATGAGGTTATGTGCCTGCAGCTTTGTAGTAGTGTATGCAAACTCCTGGTGTGCATGTGATCTTGTAATTGTGTGTTTACTATTGTATCTTGCAGTTCTGTGAGTGC